TGGTAGCAGGGCCCTCCTTCTCTACTCAAGTCTTTCTCCTTTATAGGGTTTCCAAGGAGTGGTGGCGGGTTTGAACCACTGACCTTGTGGTTAGCAATCCAATGCTTATCTTACAGTATCACACCAGGTACTGTTATTATGTCGTGCAGATGGAGAAACTGAGAAGTTAAGTTGCTTTTAACTCCAAAGCATATACTTTTTTGACAGAGTTTACCTTGTTGAGGCTTTAAATAAATTAGCCCTGAAAGTTATGGTGTCCTGATATGGTACTTTTGGATAAGCACCCGACTGCTAACCTCAAGATCAGTAGTTCAAAGCCAGAAGTTCCTCGGAAAGCATATACAGGGTCATTATGAGTTAGACCAGCACCTGTCTGTCAGTTTGTCATACCGTGGTGACTTGTGAGTTTCTGTGATTCTGGAAGCTATGTCATAGGTATTTTAAATATCAGCAGGGTCACCCACATGGACAGGTTTCAGATGAGCTTCTAGATGAAGACAGACTAGGATGGGGACAGACTCCTTCCTAATATTTTCTCACTGAAAACTTAATGAATAGCACTGTAACACTGTCATCACCAGATTACTGAATATTGAAATGTAATTAAGAGCACTAGAATATTGTTAGATAATCATGTCAGGTTTGAAGGCATTCAAGATGCAACTGGGGAAGAACTTCTTCCATAAAGTTGGGTTGACTGAGATTATGTGAAGAAGTAAAACCTTCAGGACCTTCTTTTGTTAGTGAGTGAGGCACAACTGAAAATGAAGAGAAAGAGCTGTAAACATCAATTAATAATCAGAACATGAGATGTGCAAAGTATGAATTTAGGAAAATTGAAAATTATAAAAAATGAAATGGAATGCATCAACATCAATATCCTAGGTATTGGTGAGCTGGAATGGACGGGTATTGGCCATTTTGAATATGACAGTCACATGATTTACTCTGCCGAGAATGACAAATTAAAGAGGAATGGCGTAGCATTCATCATCAAAAAGAACATTTCAAGATGTGTCATGAAGTACAATGCTATCTGCGATAGGCTAATACACATATTCAAATTTATGCAGCAACCACTAAAGCCAGCGATGATGAAATTGAAGAATTCTGCCAACTTCTTCAGTCTGAAATTGATCAAACATGCAATGAGTATGTATTGATAATTACTGGCAATTGGAATGCATATGTTGGAAACAAAGAGGAAGAATCAGCAATTGGAATATATAGCCTTGGTGATAGAAATGATGCTGGAGATAACATGTTAGAATCTTGCAATATTAATGACTTGCTCATTGCAAATACCTTTTTTAAACAATGTAAAAATGACACTACAGATGGGCATCACCAGATGGAATACACAGAAATCAAATTGACTACATCTGTAGAAAGAGATGGTGGAAAAGCTCCATATCATCAACCAAAGCAAGGCCCAGGGGCAAACTATGGAAGCAGACCATCAATTGCTGTATGCAAATTCAGGGTGATGCTGAAGAAAATTAAACAAATCAATAAGAGCTAAAATATGACCTTCAACATATCTCACTTGAAGTTAGAGATCATGTGAAGAATAGATTTGATGTGTTAACCATAAAGACCGACAACCAGAAGAGTTGTGGGATGACATCAAGCATCAAGAACATACAGGAAGAATGCAAAAGGTCATTGAGAAGATAAGAAAGAAGAAAAGACCAAAATATGTGTCAGAAAAAACTCTGAAAATCCAATGTAGAATTCTAAAGCTAATGGAAGACATGAAGAGGTACAAGAGTTGAACAGAAAATTTCAAAGGTCAGCTTGAGAGGACAAAATCAAGTATTATGATGAACTGTGCAAAGTCCTGGAGTTACAAAAACCAAAAGGGAATAACACACTCAGCATTTCTCAAGATGAGGGCACTGAAGGAAAAATTCAGGCCTCAATTTGCAATATTGAAGGATTCTGTGGGCAAAATATTGAATGATGCAGAAAGCATCAAAAGAACATGGAAGGAATGCATAGAGTCACTGTACCAAAAAGAAATGGTTGATGTTCAACCATTTCAGGAAGTAGCATATGGTCAAGAGCCAATGATACAAGAAGTCCAAGGTACATTGAAGGCATTGGCAAAGAACAAGGCCTCAAGAATAGATGGAATATGACTCACTCAACTGTGCAAAAAGGTTGGAGCACAGCTATCTGGTCAAGAATGGAAAAGATCCATATCTGTGTCTATTCCAAGAGATGTGACCCAGTGGAATGTAGAAATCATTGGTCAGTATCATTAATATCACATGCAAGTAAAATTTCTTAATACTACAAAAACGGCTGCCATCATACATTGACAGAGAACTCCAAGAGGTTCAAGCTGGATTCAGAAAAGGAATATAGAATGAGGGATATCATTGCTGACATCAGATGGATCTTGACTAAAAGCAGAGAATACCAGAAATTTACCTAGGTTTTATTGTCTATGTACAGGCTTTCAATTGTGTGGATTGTAAACTATGGACAACATTGCTGAGAAAATAAGCATTCCAGAACACTTAATTGTGTTTATGAGGAACCTGTACGTAGACCAAGAGGGAGTTATTCGAACAGAACAAGGGAACACCGAATGGTTTAAAATTAGGAAAGGTGTGTACCAGGATTTTAAGCAAATAATTTGAGAAACTGGATTATATATGAAGAAAAACATAGCATCAGGATTGGAGGAAGACTCATTAACAACCTGCAATATGCAGGTGATAAAACCTTGCTTGCTGAAAGTGAAGAGGGCTTAAAATACTTACTGATGAAGATCAAAGACCACAGCATTTGGAATGGGTTGCACCTCAATGTAAAGAAAACAAAAATCCTCACCACTGGACCAATAAACATCCATATAAATGAAGAAAAGATTGAAGTTATCAAAAGACTTTATTTTGCTTGGATTAACTATCAACACTTATGGAAGCTGCAGTCGAGAAATCAAACAACGTACGGCATTAGGCAAATCTGCTTGCTGCACAAGACCTCTTTAAAATGGTGAAGCAGAGATGTTAGTTTGAGGACTATGGTGTGTGCCTGACCTAAGCCTGATCTATTGATATTTTCAATGACCTCATATGCATGTGAAAATTGGACAGTAAATAAGGAAGACCGTAGAAGAATTGATCATCTGAGCTATGGTGTTGGAGGAGAATATTAAAAGTACCATTGACTGTCAAAAGAATAAACCAATCTGTGTTGGAAGAAGTATAGCCAGAGTGCTCCTTGGAAGCCAGAATGGGCAGACTTACTTAGTCTTTAATATTTCGGACATATTGTCAAGAGGGACCAGTTTCTGGAGCAGGACATCTTGCTTTGTTAAGTGGTGGGTCAAAGAAAAAGAGGAAGATCCCCAATAAGATGGACTGGCACAGTGGCAGCAGAAATGGGCTCAAACGTAGCAATGATTGTGAAGTTGGTACAGGACCAGACAGTGTTTTGTTCTGTTGTGCGTAGGGTCACTATGAGTCGGTACCAACTCAATGGCACCAGTAACAACAAATGAATCGGAACTGACTTGACACTTAACAACAACATCAGCAAAAGTTAAAGATCTTTCACCAAAACTTGAAAAGATGGTCTATAGCCTAGTTAGGTTGCTCTTGGTTCCTGACAACGTAGTAGCTAGCAGAATGAGAAGCATGTGGACTAGCTGAAAGTAGGTCCCCAATGTCTAGGGCAGTGGTTTTCAAAGTGTGGTTCCCAGAACAGTCTCACTGGAGACTGTTAGAAAAGCAAACTCTCAGGCCCTCACCCCAGGCCTGAGGAAACAGAAACTCTGGGGTCAGAGCCCAGCAGTGTGTTTTACAGTCCCTCCATCTGATTGTAATATATATTGAAGTCTAAAATAGGGAAATTACTTCGTAATGGGTACCTATTTTATTTCTACTTCTGAGATGGTTTTAGCCTAACTCTCAGCCCTTAAGAACAAAATTAGCATTAGCATACAATGGCAAGATAATAGAGTCAGACAGGAACAAGTTGAATCCTAGTCTCATAAAATTTACTAAGACAAGCATACCTCCCTAAGCCACCTTTCCCATCTTTGTGGTGCTGTAGGATCAGCACTGGACTGCGAACCACATGGTCAGCAGTTCAAACCCACCAGCTGCTCCTTGGAGAGCTTTTACAGAGTCACTGTGAGTCAGAATTGATTCCATGACATTTAACAACAACAAAGTGACGTTAATAGTATCTTTATCCATACATGTTTTAGTTGTTTGTGTTTTAGAATTAAGCAAAATAACATGTAAAGTATGTAGTGCCTTGCCAGGCCCTCAGGTAATTGCCTCTAGAAAAGTGACTTGCCATCTAAGAACCCCCATCCTTATCTGTTGTAAACGCCTCGTTTCTTAAGTTTATTGGTATTTCTCTGCTTGGACATCCTCTCCTCCTAGCCCTCTTCATCTCATTGACTTTAAATCCTTGCATATAGTTTTCTTCTCCTGGGGGTCTTCCCTTAGCCCCACCCTGCCGATCTCTGCACTTGTTGTTAAGTGCCTTTCTGTCTGTTCTGACTTATAGTGACACTGTTAGGGTTTCCAAGGAACAGCTGGTGAGTTTGAACTACCAGCCTTGCAATTTGGAGTCTAGTGGTTATGCTCTCACGCTATACCAGGACTCATGTGCTGCGTACATACTAGCATCTATCTCTCCTATCACCATACTTACCATACAGTTTTGCAATAATTTGTTTTCCATGTAAACTTCATTGAAGACATACAGTGTCTTGTCCACTTAAATTATATCCAGAAACCAGTAAAGCCTGCAGACATTGTAGGAATTTTCATACATATTGAATGACTGAATGGTGGCTGGCTTCATTACTTCATCCTCCTCCCTGAGCAAGCTTCCCTCTCTAGTTTGTCATTTTTGCACTGACTGCTTGTGATAATCCATAGTACTGGGACCAGTACACATTTTTTGTTTTCCTGAAAGCACATGGTAGTTTAATAAGCTACTCCCTAACCACTAATCCTTCTGTCTTACAGGTGCCTTGGGGGAACTATATGCCTTGATGAGCAAAGTGCATCACAGACAGACCCAAAAAAGGCAGCATCCTGCAGACCTCACCACTCGGTGAGTGATTAGGAGGGAAAGGAAAAGGGTTGGATTTGCTGTGGGAGGAACATGGTGGGGAGTTGCGGTTGTAACTCTTGTTTAATTTCAGAGGGAAGAAGAGATATAGTATAATGGAATAAGAATTGGACCAAGTTCAGGAAACTTGGGTTCTAATACTAGTTTTGCAATTTTTTAGCTGTGTGGTTTTGATTGGTCCTCAAAAAATAAAGATGCTGAACTAATTAATGCAAAAAACCAAACAAACCCAAAAAAAACCACCTTTCTAGTTCTGAAATCTCCCCCATCCTTTTTCTTTCTTTCTTTGTGGTTTTGGGGAGGTAGGAGTAATGACTAGTCAGGATTAGAGTTAGAGTTAGGACTATGGCTAGGTTTAGTGTTAGGGTTATGGTTAGGACTATGGATGGGTAGGGATTTGGCTAGTGCTAGGAGTAAGACTTGGTCTAGTTTTAGAGTTTCAGTTAGGTTTGTTTACTTTTCTTTAAATTGACTTGACTTTTCATTTGGAGTTCTGGTGTGATGCTGTGGGTTAATGCATGGAGCTGCAAAGTCAGTTTGAACAGCAGGGTCGGAACCAACTTGATGGCCCTTAAAAACAACAGCTGTTCATTTGGAAGTTCTGTAACTACATTATTCCCTCTTTTTACTCTGTGGGTTTTTCGTTGTTGTTGCAAACTAATATCTCTGATCAGAGCTTAGTCTTATTAGTTCTTCTTTGTAGGTAACTTTTTGTTTTTCCAAGCTGCTCTTAGTTAGTATTCTTTCATTGTGTGTGGTTATGAAAAGTTTAATATGTCTTGGTGATTTTCTTTTTAGGTCTATCCTGTTTAATGTTTGTTCAACTTCTTGAATGGCTGTCTTCTCATCTTTCCTGATGTTAGGGAAGTTTTCATCTTAACAACTCTGACAATTTTCTCTTAAGTTTTTTTGTCTTTTCCTGTTTTGGAATTCCAGTCACATGCAAGTTATTTTTCTTGAAAGTGTCCCACATATATCTTTGGCTTTATTTGTTCTTTTTTCTTATTGTTCTTCTATAAGATAAATATTGAGAGATTTGTATTCAGGCTCACTGTTTTGGCCTTCCATTGATTCAGCTCTGCTTCTTTGCCCTTTCAATGTGTTAGCTATTTCTGAAGTCTTACTATTTATTAATGTTCTGGCTTTCTATTTGCTGTTTTTGAATGGTTTCCAATTTTTCATTTACTTTGTCATTTTGTTCTTGTAGTGTTTTTCAGAATTCTTCTAAAGTTTTGTCTGTATTTTCCTTGATTTCATCTGCAGTTTTCTCTTATCATTCTCTTAATCTTAGAAATTACCTAAATATAATTCTTTTAAACTTATCAGGAGCCCTGGTAGCATAATGGGTTACACATTGGGCTACTAGCTGCAAGGTCAGCAGTTCAAATTCACCAGCAGCTCTGTAGGAGAAAGATGGGGCTTTCTGCTCTTGTAAAGATTTACAGCTTTGGAAACCCTACACAGGGTCGCTATGAGTCGGAACTGACTCTACAGCACATAACCACCACTACCACCATTAGGTAGTTCCAATACTATTTCTGGTATTATAGTGTCTGACTCTATCTTAGTTATTTGTTTCAGGCATTCTGAAATTTTCTCCAAGATATTGTGGTGTCATTATATTTAATTGATTATTGTATTTTGTTATGTTCTCATGTGTCTGTCTACTGGTGGATGTGATAGAGACTAGAAGTGTGTATGCAGTTCTGTGTTCACTGTGTAGTATAGTGTAGTTCAGAACTGTTTGTCTGATGTTGGCTGCTAATTGCCGTTGATCAGGTGGTCCAGTAGTAAGTAGTATTACTTGCCCAGTGGGTAGAGCTTCAGGCAGTACAGATGTGGCTGGGCCATATGGGCACAACTGCTTCTCCCCAAAACAAGCAACAGCAATAAAAGATTTAATGAGGCGAAATTCACGTGCCTCCACATGTGGGGTGGTACACCCAGAGCTTGACTCCAGGCAGAGTAGAGGCTGTGTAGGAGGGAGGGTGCCACTAGCTGCTGGGTGAGTGAGGACAAGAGCTGACCATGCCCCTGGCTACCAGCAGGACCCAGGGAACAAGGTAAAATCGCATCCCACTCACCGCTAATCTCCAGGCTGCTATATCAACACCTGCCCCCAAAAGCTCAAGATGGCTTTGCCACTCCAGGGCAGCCGGCAATCTGCCCATCTGCCTCCTTTCTTACTGCTTCTACTCATCATCATCTTCTAGTCAGCCTTTAGTCCACCTCTCTATCCTGTCCTCTGAGCCCAGGGTTCCCAGTTACTTTGATTCAGTTACTTTGAAGTCATTCTTGATTCCCTTTTGTCTCACCCCATATTTAGTGCATCTGCAAATCCTGTAGACTGCGTATAAAAAATATCCAGAGCCTGACCATTGTCATCCTTTTCACTTCGATTATTGTAATAGCCTCCTAAGTGGTCTTCCTATTACTATTCTCAACTCAGCAGCCAAAGAGATGCTTTTGAAGCGTAAGTCAGATGCTGTCACTCCTTTGCTCAGAATTTTCCAGTGGCTTCCTGTTACACATCTTCATGTGTCCCTGCCAGGCCCTACGTGCTTTGGCCTAGGCTGATATGGGAGCTCACCTTCTTCATCTCAGTACTCTTAGCCTTTATCCTCGCTCATGAGGCTCCAGGCATTGTGACTTCCTTGCTGTCTTTCAAACATGTCAGACATGCTCCTACCTCAGGGTCTTCACACTCAGTGTGGCTTCTCCAGTTGCCAAACTGAAAGCAGTTCTCAGGAAGGCATGAAGGTTATTAGATAAATTCTAAAATCAAGTGTCATTTCAAGTCCAAACTCCTCGACTTATGTAATGTATAGCCTTGGGCAAATTATCTAACCCGACTGAGTCTCCATTTCTTATCTGTACAAGGACTTAATGAGAGTACTTTCCTGGAGGATTGTTAGTAGTACTAGAAGAGATGAGGTGTGTAAAGAATTCAGGAGGTACTCGCAGATTGGGCTAGGTAAATGGCAGGTACTGTTATAATTATTTTCAATCCTGACTGCTCCTATGGAGATTAGTAAAAATTCAGAGGTCCAGGCCTTAATTCCAGAGCGTCTAAATTATTGAGTGCTGGAGGAGAGGGAAGGACCAAGAATCCATATCTTTAAAACTCTTCCCTGGAACAACTAGGATTGAGAATGGAATAAAAGTATCTCAGAAGGTTCTGCAGAGCCCCAGCCCAGCGCATGACTAAAGGAGACTCAAGAAACTTTTCTTTGAGCCTGTGCTATTAATTGTTCAGTCTCTAAACTTGCAATGAGATATGCACATGATGACTCACCTTCTCTGGGAATTTTATTCTAATTTTAACTGCTGTGTCCGACAATGGGGTCCTTTTGAAGGTACAGGACTAATGCAAGAAATGAAATATGGATCCTGCTCGAATGGTTTGGGGAAGGGGGAAGTGCTTTTTTCCTACTTAAATATAATTATATATTATAACTACTTCTTATTTAAACATTATTATCCATTATAATTAGTTATAATGGATAACAACGTTTAAGTAGGAATTTAACTACTTAAAAACATTTGTGTACATGGCACATATCATCATAACCCTATGGAAATTTGGTGATTTGCAGAGTTAGAAGGAAAACAGCATTTAAGATTTAATTTTCACATAAATAAAATAGTATAGAATTTCTAGTATGAGAATTGAAATACAAAATTAATACTGGATTTTCAAAAATAAAGATATTCTTAAAATAGCTTTGCTGGCCTTTTCTGTGTGCAGACAACCATTCCATCGGAAACCCTCAATTTCCTGTTTTTATTCTTCCTCTCTCCTGATAGAAACTACTCCCGGTTCCGACAGAAAACACTGCAAAGATACAGTCTAACTCAGTGGGTTGACAAGAACGAGGGAAATCACCATCGGTTCCAGCATCTCCCAGAATTCTCACACAGTCCATTGGTCTCATCCCATCAGCAGTGAAGGTCACTACCCAGAGTCCTTTCCAGAGAGAACAGCATCTCATTTTCTTTTGCTGTTTTGTGCTTTATAGATTTTCACGAATTTTTATTTAAAGAACTTTTCAAGTTTTGGACATGATTGCTGATTTTTTTTTTTTTTTTTTTTTTAGTATGAGGTCTCTTTTTTTTTTTTTTAAGCCCTGTTGATTTGATATTTTAAAAATCTTATTTAAATGAAAGGTGGCTGTCTCTAAAAGCCAACATTAAGCCAAAACACTCGGGCTCAAGTAAAACAGCCACCTCTATGCAGAGGTGAAGTCTCCTTCAGGTGTCCTGGTGCCCCAAAGAAATTATTATTCAGTCCTCCTGCAAGGAAGAGATTCTTTATTAGGCCACAAGCCAGGGTCTTTACTACTGATGATTTGTGAACTGACAAGTCACTCCTAACAACCCCTTTCACTTTTTCATTTGAATCTCTGAATACCTGAGTATTTTAAAGCTGGCAATCCAGGCATCTGAAGTAGGCTAAAATAGGGCAAATAAGCCTGTTGAAAGGTCAAATTAAAAGTGTAAATCCTTTCCTCTTGTTTCTGTACCTACTAGCTGCCTTTGTTTTTGTGATTTATTTCATTCTTCATTAAATTTTTTGCACAACAGTGTTTACAAATCGTAAACATCTTAATTATAACAGAAAATTGCTAACTAACCCTAATTGAATGCCTTGTGGTCTTGTGATTCAACTTGTCTCTTGTACCATTGTTAAAGAATTTTCCACTTCCTCCCCTAATGTCCATCCCACTCCTGTACCTTGTTAGTTAGACATGGAATGCCTCTTCCGAACAGCCAGCGTCTCTGCTGTCTTTACTAAAGAGCTGTTCCCACAGAGTCTTGACTTTAGGACAAGCCAGAAACCCAGTGCCTGTGAGTTGTCAGTGGATCTTCAGTTTGCTCTGCTAAACCCAGCTTCAAACATGACTGGATGTGTTAGTCAGTTAGAGAGATTGGAGAGGCACTTTTTTGTCTGCATTGAGAGATGCCTTTAGACCCTGGACATAGTCATCTCCTTGTTTGCTGTACTCCTTGATGCAGTTTCACTAAAGTGGGTCTAATATAGCATGACTTGATATTAAGGTTTGATAATCTAACTGAAGTTGAGTCTTCAGCCATCATAACGGATGGCTTCAGAGCTTACTATTCTTTTGTTGCAGGTAGCTCTAGACTCATTGGCAAATTTTTCAGTTGGCATTCCTACTGTTGTTGTGTGCTCTGTGAAGGGGGTACGTAGTTGATGTTGCACAACTTCTGATACTGGATTAGCTGCCTTCATCTGGTTTTGTTGTCAAGTCTCTGTTTGTATGTGACTAATCCATCTTAAACATTCTACCCCATTTGGACAAAGCTTGGTGATTCAAGCCACCAATAAAATCTGGATGACTGTTCTTAAGAAGTGTTTACTGTTCTTATCCAATTGAAGAGTCTTTTCCTTGGACACTGGCTTTAGATTCTGGGACCAAAATGCAAAGGAAAAGTTCTATCAAGAGTCAAAATCTGTTCTTTCAATTGGCATATATTACCTCAGTCTGCCCTAAATTAGCTTGATGGAGTGAGACATTCCAAACCTCCACCTGTGGACCACAGCCTAGTTCAAATTAAATGTAGTTGTAACAGCTAGCATTGCAGCTGTCGAGTTGTCTCTTTCTTGGTCTGAGGAGGTACCCTCAGATATCTTGTGGAATGAAGGGACAGCAGTTTGCTTAAGTACAACTCTGAGGTTACATTATTGTCCTCCTGGTACAGGATGTTTAAGACTGAATGTGTAATGGGAGCATTGCCTTTGCCAAATCAAATGAGTGACGGGTTAACTAGAAAATGTGACAATCACATTTCCTCTCTGCTCAAATAATTCTGTTTTTCCAAAGCTTTAGCAGCTTAATTAAATCTGTTGGACTGGAGGAGGAGAGAACTGTTCTCTAGCGGTTAACATGGTATTCTGTAAGAAGTGAAAAACAAAGCCAAAGAAAACTCTATCTGGCATGTTCGCGTTAAAGATGGAAGTGGTAGATTGTGGATTTTCAAAGCTGCATGTCTCTTATGTTTGGTGTTTGCTTCTAAGGCTACTATTCAGGTGGAATTCTCGCTGTGGTTAGGGTTTGTCTTTTGAGTAAGGGTTATTATAGGCATTTAACTGCCTAGCTTTCTTCATCCATGATGACACCCTCGCCACAGGGGTCTTAACAGAACTGAGTAAAAACGTGTTTACATTGCTCACTTTTAAGTACAGAGCCTAAAATAACCTGTAGTTTTGCATCTAACGCAGGCCCTGATTTACTTGAGTGTTTGTCAGGATCAATTATGAAACTGAAGTTTGGTGCCTCTCTTTATCATGTTTTTTTTTTCTTCCTTGTAGCAGTTGTGTTTAATGTCATTAAAATGAAATAAAAGTTCTTGTCAGTGACATATGTACTGTGGCCGTCTGTTGCGGGCTTTGAAAGAGGGATCTGCGTTCCTCCTCTGCGTAGGTAGGTTAGTTGGGTATGAGAAGGGGGCGGCAGTTAGTAGAACGTGGTACTGGGGAGGCGAGGGTGCTTGCTCCCTATTCTTTTGAGGGTAAATTACAGTGTTGAGAAAGGCGTTCCAGCAGTTAAGAAATGTTGAAATTGATTGGGATTTGCAGCTACACATGGCGCATGTCAGGAGCCTGACACGGGAGAGCCTGAAATATCCCTGGGCTGCTGGTTTTGCAGTGGGGGCAGGTGGCTTGGCCCAGATCAGCCAGGCAGTGCCTTGCATTCCTTCTGAGGGCTGTATTGTAGAGTTGAACTCCTGTCTCTGCCTCTCCAGAGCGAGCACTGAATGTCCGCCTGGGGCATTCTCCATTTTAAGGGCACGTGAGAACTAAAATTGATAGTGCACATTGGTTATTCTTACCTAGTGTCTCCAGAAACTGACTCCTCCTGGAGTCAGGGATAAAGGAGTAGCCTGGGATAAGGGCTGGATAAGTGTGGGTACATACGGGAGACACAGTGTTCCTTATGTGAACTTAAGCTGCTTAGATTTACTTCCAGGAGCAAGGATGAAAAGGCAGGCAATAATAGCTTGTCACCTATGTTAGCCAGTGCTTTTAGAATCACAAATCGTGCTGAGAAAATAAGTAGCAAAGTGTTTGGACAGGTTTGCTATCCTGCTGTACTGTAAGTTTTGTTTAGAATGTATGCTCTACAGTCTGGGCAAAAGGCTCAGACTGTAGAGCATAAAGTTGCTAACTCCTCAGCTATTTGATAGTGTCTGAGTCTGACATACTCTTGACCCCTGTACATGTCCCTTTTATTCCTGTCAGGCGCAGATGAGCCTTTGTCCAGTAATTGCTTGTTTCCTTTTTAGCCATGTGTTCCTACAGCAGGCATCGATGCTTTCAGAGACCACACTGAATTCTCTGGAATGCTGCTGTCTCTCAGCCTCATTTGGTTTTATGTTATGGAAAAGCAAGCAAGAAAGGAAAACTCGACCTTCTCTAAGAGGAATGAGTTCATCCTCTAAAGAGCTTTTTAGGAGGAAAAAAATCCAACCACCTAAAAACTAGAAAGCAGAGCGTCCTGCTTTTCTTAGTGTTGTCCTGGTTTTCTGAGAGAAAACAGAATTATTCCTAAACTGATTCTAAGAGGGTACTTGCATTGTATGCCAGAGCACCTGTCGGGAAAAATGTCCACTTGTCACAGGAAGTATCAGCTGGTCAGTGCTGGCATTCATTCCTCCATGAACAAGTTCCTGCCTAGTCAATCCTTCCCACCTGTTCTCCCTCATGACAACTGGAGTACACCAGAGAAAGGACACCTAACCCCCTCCAGCACCCATTGAGGAGGAGATGGAATGTAATCATGCTGACAACTTTAAAATCCAAGTAGTACTCCTAAAATGGGATGTCACTAAGGCACGCGTCTGTACACAAAGACCTCCTTCAGTTTAGCTTTGAACATTTGAACGTTTCCCATTTATAGAAGTAATTTGTTCTTTTTCATTTTTTGAAGCGATTTGTTTTTGAAGACTACTTTTTTTTTTTTTAATGAATGCAACATCTACTTGTACCCTCATTTGTAGGATAAGCACTAGACTGCCACCCATACGGTTGGCAGTTCATACTCACCAGTTGCTCCTTGGAAACCCTACACAGGGTCATTATGAGTCTGAATCCACTTGATAGCACTTTAACAACAAGAACACAGCCCCATCTTAGGCCCAAAACAGGTAAATCTATAGGCAGGATCCTGCACTCTCATAAAAGCTCAGACCAGGTGTATTGCTGCATTCAAATTGATTGCGTCTGGGGGGAAATGGCTTTATTCTACACAATAAGATCTTATCTGCCTACCACTTTGTGGAACCTCTGACCCTGGTGACCCAGGCAGACTGGGTGGGAAAAGATGAGCCCATGTAGATGAGCACAGAGAACTAAATGAGTAACCTCTTCAATGCATTTCACTTAATTCCTGTCTAAAAGTTATTCTACACAGAACTTCTTAACCTGGGCACTCTGGATATTTGGAGCCAGGTAATTCTTTGTTGTAGGGTGTGGTAGTGTTCTGTGCATGAAAGCATGTTTAGCAGTATCACTGACTTCTACTTCCTAGATTCTTAGAAGCTACTACTTACAAGCAGAATCCAAGTCTGTCAGATACATTTAAAGAGAAGTAGAAGTCTAAAACATCAAGTGAAGGACTGGTTGAATGCTACCTGTTGGATTAGAGGTCTTAAAGTAGATTCTGGAGGAGGCCTGTACTGAAAAGCTAGGGGTCAGACAGGATAGGAGGAGAAAAAATTATTCTGGTTCCACAGAAATACCCACCAGTCTCTTCTTCCCCTCAGACCCTCCTGTTCATCTAAGAAAGTCCCCTGACTTCTACTCTAGGAAGTGTGCGGTTTGGATATCCACTAGCTCCTGTGTTTTGGGCAGCTAAGGATATCAAGGTCCACCCTCAGAAAAGTAACTTGCCTAGGGTGTTGGATGATGACAAGAACTGGCCTCAGAGAACTTGCCTGTGCCCTTCGCTAGTTGTGAGAGATCTCTGCAAATGCGAAGGAAAGACCACATCCTAAGTCACAGCAATAGGATTCTACTTTGCAACTGCATTTGATTCCAGAAAAAGCTCAGTTGTGTAGGACATGGGGGTTTAGGGAGGCAATTTGAGGAAATGGAATTTTTCTAAGCCAGGAGTGTGGGCCCCTCCACTACCCTCATACCCTTTAAGATGTACTGCAACTTCAGGCTCAGATAAGCTAAACACAGGCAACCCCCGTTAGCACAGCTTCCTGAAACAGGCTGACAGCTTTCTAAACTTGATGCCTACTTGAAGACTTCTCCATCCTTTGACACTAGACAGGCACAGAGGGCCTGGGAGGTACCTTGCTGAGCTTTGGTTTAGTGTCCTGTATATCTGCTTTCCCACCCAGCCTTGGCTCTCAGACCCTTCCAGAACAGCAACCCCTAGACCACCTTCACCTGGAGTTTTCTCTCCAATCACTTCCTGACTTTGGACAGGAATGTTCAAGGTGCCCCATTTGCTGGCTAATGGCATCATTACTCTACCTTTCAGTTTGCTGTTAGGATCATAATGATGTTCCATTAACAGCCCAGAACAACACGCTGTGAATACTGAGCTACAGAAAGCAACTTCTGCAGTCCCCCTTCACTTCCCTCCTCACCCTGGAGAGAAATAAGAACTGCATTCCTGTAGCCAGGGAAAGCACCCAACCCCATCCACAGGGGAGAACCTTACATTTTAAAAGCTCAGTACAGCCTGCATATCTATGCAGTCAGGCAGCTCAAGCTTGATTTTGGAGGGGTCCTCAGTAAAAGAACGATGGAGCAGCTATTTTCTCCTCCTACACGTGCATCCCCATCTGCTAGAGATTTCCCTTCCAACTCCAGCTTGGCTGGCAGGCATGTCCCAAAGAAGCTGTGGGCCAAAATGGAGAGAGAAAACCGAATCCCTCCTCCACACATCCTGACTTGCTGCCAATTGCCAGAAAAAGAGGGCAACATTTGGGCATTTACCAGAAGACAAGGATTTGCCTTTTCATTTGTCTTTTTATTTTACATTTAAAAAGTGGTTATTGCTCTAACTGGATCCAGGGTAAGAACCTCTCCCCTTAGGAGCCTTGGCCTTACAGCCCCATTCAGCAGGGATGAAAGTCACAAGACAATGAAAGTGGAGCCTCATGCCCTCCCATGAGGAAGCCCTTAATATTGCTGACATCTACCGTTTACTGTCTTCTCCCTCCCTATGCTGCCACACTCTGGCAATGCAGAGTGGTTGGTGGCCCACCCAGCCATGAGAGCTCTTTAAGAGACCGGAAGAAAGGGGCGGTCATCAGTGAGTGATGGCTTTCAGCTCTCTGGTTTGGGGGCCGTTACTGTTACCATTCAGTTCAATAAGCACTTCCTGAGCGCCTACTGTGTGACAGGCTTGTGCTAGGCGCAGTCCTCTATCCCCCCCCCCCCATCCCTGTCTACCAGTGGAAGATGCAGGCACGTGGCAGCCATAACTCATCAGTCCTAGGGAAGAGCCTACCTTCCCTTCTCAAGCACCATTTTTTTTTTTTTTTAACCAGAAAGGGGCAGTGGAGAGAGAGACCTGTCGTCTCTTACAACTCAGGCTCTAAGGAAGGACATGAGGACCCTGGGCAGCTTTAACGGCACCCTGGGTGAGATGGCAAGATATGGAGACCCTAGAGGCCCATAGTGAACCAGGGCTGCTCTGCCTGGCTGTGGTGGATGGCTCAGCCCTGCCTTCTAGCAGCTTCCACTCCAGAGTGAGTGGTTTCGCTGCATCCAGAATGCTGGATGTGGACATAAGTTTTTAGTTGTCTAGGGCATCACTGCTGAAACTCTCAAGACGTTTCCTAAGTAATCCCTCCCATGTATCTCTTCTCTATCTTCTTAAGAACCCCCAGCCTAAAGATCTTATAGTCAAAGGAACAGCCAAAGAAGACAGAAGATACAAGCAACCAGCTCAGTCTTTGAGGGGATCCCCTCTGCTTCCTAGAAGGGAGCCTCCAATTTAGCTTTCCAAAAGAGAGAACATCTTCCACTTGCAAACTTGTACATCACACCCCAAGTCTTGGATGGCTGGATACAGGAAAGACTTGATGGCAGTGCTGACCCTGCAAGGCAGGCAGCCACACTGCCTCCCTCGAGTTCCTCACTTGGGTCGTCAATCTAAGTGCTTGACATCTCCCAGGGACTTTGTGCATTTTGGCAAAGAGGAGGCCAGACCAGGAGCTGTGAGGAGGCAGAAGGCTGTGTCTGGTGCAGCTTTGCCTTTTCTAGAATGGGGTCAGGTCTGTTTGTTTTGTGGCTTGTTTATTTTTTGCAGAATTTAGGTTTATAGTTCAGCCTTCAGAATACGCCAGGGGAAGAGGGAGGACTGTGCAGCTAGCGGTGCCTCCTCCCTATGCTGGTGCCGCAGTCCTCCCTGTCCCTGTGCGTCAGCAGAGAAGCTCACTGAAATCCTTCTTCCTGCAGGCAGGCAGTCACGCTTGGATGGTGTTCACCAAGGGCTTGTTTGGAAACTGGGAGGAAAACAAAAAAGAGAAGTGGCCGGGCGGGGCTAATTGAATAGACTTCTTGCAAGGCTGGAAACAGGTAGAGGACAGAAGCAAACAGCCAGGCTACATCCTGATGGCCAAGCTCTTGCCCCTTGTAGAAGGAAAGAGTAAGCCTGACCTGGATGGCTTGTCTCTACCTTTCCAAACCCAGCCTCAGGCCTGGCGCAGCTGAAGAATGGCCAAGGCTAGGTCCTGGGCTGTGGCCCCCGGACACCCCAGCTGACCCCCAGCAGAGCCATCCCTCTGCTGGTTCTCCATCCTGTAGATCTGCCTCTGATCACAGCCTCAGCTGCTGACATTGTGGAGGTGCTTACGGAGATGGGGGCTAATAAGAGGCTTTGGGAAAATGCGCCAATGAGAGAGAAGTTGAGAGAGGACAGTAAGCCAGAGGGTATGAGGAGATGGGGGGAAGAGGAGGTGGCGAGAGGACCAGATGCTTGTTGAATAATCATCCTCAGAACTTGGAGATCCTCTCACATCCTCTTCAGAGCTGCTCAGAGCAAGTATTGACAAGGTTTTCATATCTGTTTTGTAGAAAAAGAGAGAAAAGTACAGAGAGGTGCAGTACCTACTCAAAGTCACACAGCATAGCAGGAACAGAAATGAGCCCAAGTCCTTTCCTCCTGCTTTCCCACACCAATCAAGAGTTCCACTCTCTCCGCTTGCTGCCCCCCACTTCCTTTTTTTAAAACCACCTCTGGGACTCTACACAAGGAAAGTATCCAAAATCAATTTGTTGCAGTGCCCCTGTGTCATACAGACAGAAGCCAAGCATGGCTCTGTCTGGATGCAGCCATGCCAGGCCCTGATCCAACCCCCTCTGCAACCACCCACCCCTGCTGCCCTCACCTTACTGCGGAGAAGACCCCCACCCTGGTGCTCTGGTGTGCTGGTTTCTGATGCACTCTTGGCTTTTTCCTTGTTGTTATTGGGTTCATTGTCCTTGATGATGTCATACTGGCGGCAGAAGAGGGCAATGACACCTGGGGGTGGGCACAAGGGGGAGCAGTCGGAGGGGAGAGCTGAATCCTGCCTGACTGGTGCCATTCCCACCAGCATCTGCTGTGGACGCTAACTCCCCTTACAGCCACTGCTTCACTACTGCTGATCTCCCACAACATCTGAGCAGGGGCCTCCTCGCCTTATTATAGCAAAGCTCTGACAGCTCCTTTTTTTCTTTAGAGGAAAATAGAAACAATAACTTTTATTGAGCATATGCTAGGCCCTGTGCTATGTGCTGACATAGTCTCTGTCTCAAGTCCACAACAGCCTTGTGACGGTCCCTATTATCACCCCAGGCTACAAGCGAGGACGTGGGTGCAGAGAGAGGACCTATCTTACTCAAAGTCACATAGTGGTGAAGCTGGAATGTGCTGGAACTCCAGGGCCTATACCACTCTTGTTAGATTGTGATTTTTATCAAGTCATGTACCTACCTGATACATTGTGAAAGTCTGATCATATAAAGGCAAGTAACGCCAACTGTAATGTGTTTCTCCCATTTTTTTAACCTTTATGTCTCTAAATACTCCTTGATTCATCTGTTTTCAATATTCTCTGTTGACTTCCTAATAAAGCCTTCTAGCAACTCCCCCTACTTCCATTTCCCATTACCCTAATAGATTTCTATCACAATTGTGGGTGAATCTACTATGTTTACATTGTTATGAATAACTGTCGGTGCCAACTCTAATAGTACACTATAAGCAAACCTCCTCTCTTGTACAGCCCTTTGTTTTTCCTGTCTTTTTTAAATGCCTGTTTTTCTATGTGCCCAAGAAAAAAAATTTTTCCCCCAAATGCTTCTACCAGAAAGCCTGGACTCTCAGTGACCATGCTCCTAAAGCTTTAACTTGGTTTTCAAATCCCTTAAACCATCCCAGTCTGCTTAAGGGCTTGGGGCAATAGTCTGAGGGGACATCTAGGTCAACTGACATAACATAGTCCATCAAGACAATGCTCTACATCCTACATTGGTGAGTAGCCACTGGAGTCATAAAGCTTGCAAGTGGCCATTTAAGATGCAACTATGGGTCTCTTCCCATGCAGAGCAAAGGAGAGTGAAGAAAATCAAAGATTGAAAGAAACAGTGAGTCCACACTACTAACGACCCCACAAACCACAGCCCCCACTAGCCTGAGACCAGAAGAACTAGATGGTGCCCGGCTATCACTGCCAACCACTCTGATAAGTCTAATAGAAGATCTTGGACAAAGAGAGAGAAAAATATAGAACAAAATTCAAAATCATAAAAAAGGCCAAACTTACTGGTATGAAACAGTTAGAACCTCCACAACTATGGCCCCTAGAGACCCTTCAGACCTGAAACTGAACCCACTCCCAGAGACCCCCTTTTAGCTACACCAGAAACAGCTATGGAGTGAGCGTAAACACCCATGAGGAAGATGCTCCTGAGAACAATCAACCACACAAAACCAAAAGGGCCGCATTTACCCACAGAGTGCAGAAGGCAGGGAAGGTGGACAAATGGAAAGAAGGAGGACCCCAGTCAGGAAGTCAGAAGCATGCTGTTACAATGAGGGAGTGCAACTAAATGTCACAAAGCAAAATGAGTACACGTTATTAGTGGGGAACTAATGTACTCTCTAAACTTTCACCCAAACCACAATAATAATTATTAAAATCCCCAAACTGGTCCCAGTCTACAACCTACCTATTATTATTCCTCCACTTCTCACCCTCTCTCAGGCTGCAGCTGCATTGAGCCAGACTGAGCTTAATTTGTTTCTTGAACACACCATGCCCAGAACATTCTTTCTCTTTTGGTTGCCTGGTGAGCTCTCATTCATCCTGCAAGCTTAATTCCTGTGTTACCTGCTCTCTGTTTTCTTCCTGATTTCTACCCCTAGCCCTGGAATTCATGACCTCTCCTCTGCTCCTATACATGATATTATTACAGTATTCATCAAATTGAAATTTGGTTAAATATGGGCCTGGCTTCCCCCAGACTGAGTTCCTGCAAGTACAGGCCTCTTCTGAGTCACGATTTGTAGCCCTACAGCCTGGAATGGAACAGATGCTCAGTAAATGCTGCTGGAGTTGACTATAAAGATGAATGAAACTTGGTCTTTATCCTCAGGGATTTCAGAGGCTAGCGGGTAAAAGGGAATACAAGTCCAACCAACTTACATAAGTGCAAAAGAAAAGGGTAGGCAACGTTAGAGTGGGAGCACCAAAGCCACAGGGCCATTCTAATGGTGTGTTTTGGGAACAATGCATGCAGTCTTCCGCATTCAATCTGGCGAGTTTAGAAGGGTGTCCCAAGTCTGAGATCAGGCAATGAACTGCCCGGGCCTGAAGTCCCTAGATGGCACAGCAACCAGGACAGGAAGGAGAACCAGCATCTTTAGCCAGAGTATGTATCTACTCCTAGAACTGGGATCACTTCTGAAGGAGGAAAAGAACAAGTTCTCCTTTTTTTGTGTGTGCAAGGTGGGTGGGTGAGAGAAGGTATCAGGTCTGGTCCTCAGAGCTGACCCAGGCAGAACTTAGAGCTTTCAGATCTCATTTCTTATGTCTCCAAGCACTTTGCTATTTGTTTCTATAAGAGAAGGAACCTGGTTGGAAGCCCTCCATTTCCCAGAGAGAAAGGAGCTCTGGTAGCGTAGTGGTTATGAATTGGGCTGCTAACCTCAAGATCGGCAGTTCAAAACTACCAGCCATTCCACCGGAGAAAGATGAGGCTTTCTGCTCCCATAAAGATTTACAGCCTTGGAAACCCTGTACAGGGTCGCTATGAGTCAGAACCGACTCCATGATATTTAACAACAAGAAGGGTCTAGAAGCTCAGACTCACCCGCCCACATGAACAGGACCACCACGATGATGAGCACCTCTCCTGTTCGCAGCTGTTGATTCCTTCCCATCTCCTTCATGGTCACCTCATCTGTGGGGACAGAAACACTACCTCTTCGGTCCTTTCCAACACCCACCTACCCCTCTAGCATCAAATCCAAGTACTTTTAAGATAACAAGTGCTTATCTCTATAGGCGCCTACCTTTCTAATGTCCAGAAATCCAAGAACATGTTGGCTACTCGGGGTTGCTGTGATAGGACTCAATCAAAGGAGTTTCTGTACCCACGGTGCTAGGGAACCAGAGTGAATCTCCTCTCTCAGGGACTGCTCTCCTTGGCTGGTAACGGGTAGGTGGAGACTAGTACTTTCCTCAAGCTACCCACTGCTGTGGCCCTGACCACCTTCGTCCCACCCTTTCTAAACAGTGCTGGGACCTGCCTTTGTTCTTGGAGGCCATCTTCTCAGCCTCACGCGGGGTCTTGAAGAGCACTGGCTCGCTAGCCGGGCTCTGGCCCTGGATGGAGATGGCTTGCACGTGCACAATGTACTCAGTGTCCTCTTCCAAGTCCCAGAGGGCACAAGAGCGGGTGGTGGTGTTCACTTCCTGGATGAAACGCAGCATTCGCACGTCCTTCTTCTGCAAAGACAATAGCCAGGCTCAGAGTTTACAGTACCTAGTCACCAAACTCCTGCTCTGATGATGGCAGGCTCATTCTACCATGCTAAACCCTCTACTTACAAAATCCTAACCATCTCATTATCTTCATTTGTCAGATAAGGAAACTCTGAAGGTTTGGGAGGGTGCCCAAGGCATACACATCTACTGAGAATGGAGCCAGGTCCTAAACTCACGTCTGTCTATCCAAGCTGTGTTCTTAATTCCTATGGTCTGATCAAAACCTCCTGAGCCCTCCCGCACTGATTCCCTTCTGAGCCCCAGTGTTAAGCCATACGTGCAGCTTTCTCTTCTCTAGCTCCTCATCCTTTTTCCTTTCTACGTCTATCTTCATGTGTTCTTCCCTCACAAGGACTCTTGAGAGTTACCTGCTGAGAGATGGCAAATCCGATGACAACCTCGTCCTCCAGGACATCCCAGCTCACCACCGCCGAGTTGGCCTTGAGGTGCCTGACAGTGACATTCACTGGGGCCGAGGGACTTTCTGGGGGGCAGGGAGGCACCGGAGCCTGAGCACCCCTGTTACAAGGCCCAGGCCCACTGCCTCATGAAGCAGGGTGGGCAGAAGGAAACCTGGGAAAGGCTATGTAGTGGGGAAGGTTGAAACCAAGGGTTCACACATGGTTGGAGAGATGGTCTTCAGTTCCTTAGTGAATTGAAGAGCCAAGCTTGAGTCCCGGGGTTCCCTATGTCCCAGCGGAAACCACTGCTGGCCACAAGCTGGACCCATCAGGGATCTGAGGTAAACATTAATAGGCCTGGGCCAGTGCAAGATTGAATGAAGGGGCAAGAAGAGGGGAGGAGAGGTATAGGAGAGGCCTAGGGAATTAAGAGTTGTAGGAGCTACAAATGAGGCAGATGAAAAGTAGTCAAAATGACTCAGTGTCCACTGTTCCTTCAATAGAATGACACTCTCAAACGAGTGACCTTGAGAGAGGGAGAGAGGCCCAGAGGTCAAGAAGAGCCAGCTTGGTGTGAGTCCCAGGATTGGGTGACAGGAACCTCCAGTCTGGGCAGAATGAAGCTGGGGGAAGGGCCTCCTCAGATCCAAGCAGCCCAAGAGGTGGAGCCGGATCAGGAGGAGGCAGGGAAAGATGGGGTCACTCTGAGCAAGGCCCCTCTGGATGGACAAAAGAATGTGACAAAGGATTGGTAGAGAGGGGAGATAGAGGGAGAGGGATGGGGAGAGGGGCAGGGGAGTCACCCAAGGGGCAGATGTGACAAGGGGAAGGCCTGAGCCTGAGCAGTACCCTCTCCATGGGTGAGTGAATCTGGGGGAGACAAAGCCAGACAGAGACAGAGGGACACAGACAGGTGGAGGCAGACAAAGAACCAAAGAGACAGGTGGAGTGTCAGAGACAAACAGTGAAGGAAGCAGAGAGAGAGCGCTCTGAGCCATGGAGAAATGGGTAGAAGGAGGCAGCCGCCAGGAGGGTCAGAGACAGGCCGGCTACAGGGGAGATAGCTGGGAGGGCAGGGCCTCCATGGGGCAGGTCAGTCTGACTGCACCCACCCATCCCCCTCACATGCTCACGCACACCGGGATCCTAGCCTGCTCCAGATCTGTTCTGCAGAGTTGGCCTGCAGAGCTTTGAGAGGTCTTTGGGGGACGGGAAGGAAGGCCTAAGGTGGGGGTGAGGGGGTGGATGATATCCTCAGCTGCTCCCTGGGGCAGAGAAGGGAGCTAGTGAACCAGCGCCTAGGGTCAGGAGGATGGAGTTAGAGACCTGAGGACCACAGCGTGATGAGAAGGGACTAGGAGAGTGAAGGGCACAGACCGCTTTGGGGTGAAGAAGGTGGGGGTTTGGATTAGCTAACAGTGAGTGGGACAAAATAGGGGGTCCCCAGGGAGTGGGTAAGGGAACTGCAGACTCCAGAACTGGGGCGAAAGAGGAGCCTGCCCGTGTGCCCAGCCCTCCCGCAGCCCCTGACACCCGGCCCTCCCGCAGCCCCCTGCCCCGGGCCCCCTTACCCGCCTGCACCAGCGCAAAGCAGACGCAGCCCAGCCAGAGGCGGAGCGCGGCGCGGGCGCGGGG